CACTGACTAGCCACTGAAGCCAAATTGGTGAACTGCAGTTTCAGTGAGAGATTCTGTCTCAAAAAATAAGGTGGAAAGTGATTGAGGAAAGCACCTGACATTAGAGTTCTGTCCTCTACTTACATAGGTATGTGAGCATCACACACACACACACACACACACACACACACACACACACACACAAACACACACACATGCATCTATACACATCTACTATACAAATATACACAAAAGGTTGTTGATATGTACAAAGAAAAACACACATTCACAATACATTATAGTCATGATTTAAAATTATCTTCAATCACTGATTATCTTTAGGAGCTGGTACTCAGACACCATAGATAATGTGTGAATAGCAGACTGGCAGATTACACTGAAACAAATGTAGTATGTAGGAGCACTCTAATACTCTAGTTACATAACTAACCAGTTGTACAAGAATACTGAACCCCAGGTTCAATTAAGGGGAAAAAAACCTGAAAATGTAAAAATATTTCTTTAAATATAATTTCACCATCTGTTCAACCTGCAGAATGTCTTACTTACATTATAGAAATATACAATGATATAAATGTGAATCTCTTCTAGATACAATGTGTATTATTGACTTTTCTTTCTACATATTTTTATAAAAAGTATTTTTCCTTCACACTATATAAAAGCGCTTAAAAGGAATTTTGTTATAGATAGTACTTGAGACAAAATAATTATTTTATAGAAATGATTACACTCAAAACATTTCTCACATACATTTTAGAGAAGAACACCTACATATAAAGTATGCTTGCCCATAAAAATAATTAAAACTGAAACAAGATAATGTTCCATGATTATTACTGGTCATGACTAGCTTTGTACCAATAGATATAATGAGGCACAGCATTAAATGACAAACTACTCAGGAATACAGACATCCAGGAGTGGTCCTTACCTTTGACTATCTGTACACCATTCCCATGAATCACACCCTCTCCCTAGAACCATTTTTAATTCCCTGCAATCACTGTCGGCCAGAAGTGGAAAGACCACACTAATAGGAGTCCACTTTCTCCTCACCTTGTACTTTTCTGTAATAAGAGAAATGTGCAAAAGATGGATGAAGGTACAGAAACAGGCAGGGACACAGTTCCATAAGATCTATGGGACTTGGTAACCATCTAAACTGTACAGAGTGGCAGAGGAGTTGGAGAAAAGTCTGGGAGAGAGAGAATGCTGGGAGCCAGTGCACGAGCATGTCTTCTGTCTGTCAGGGTCAAAACCCAGTAACCCTAGACGGGACTAAGGATTTGATCTAAACTTGGGAAGAAAATCTGAAGGTAGAGAAAGGGAGAGATAGAGAGACAGACAGACAGACAGACAGACAGACAGACAGACAGACAGACACACACACACACACACACACACACACACACACACACACAGAGATTATATCCAAGTAATTTAATAGAAGCTATAGGGGAGCAAATGAGGCCTCACAACAGGAAAAATGGAGAAGAGTGAAAGGGGGAAAGGAGGGTGGGAGAGGGAGGGAAGAAAGGAAAATTCACTCGTATCAATTAATATATTTGAAAAACTGATATATCCAAGTATTAATTTGAAGGTAATGTTCATATTTGTGACAAGGCATAAAAGCTGAAAAAAAAAATCAAAAGAATGAAATGTCAAAGAAGCTAGAACAGAATGTATAGATTTTCAAAGAGAACTCTGACAAAGACTAAAAGAGAGCTGGGTGTGGTGACATACACCTTTAATCCCAGCACTCAGGAGGCAGAGGCAGGCAGATCTCTGTGAGATGTAGACCAGCCTGGTCTACATAGTGAGATCCAGGTCAGCTGGGGTTACAGGAAGACCCTGTCTTTAAAAACAACAACAACAACAACAACAACAACACACAGACTGAGAAGGACAGTAGCTGGGACAAGGCTCTGGGCTGGAGAAAGATCAAGGTTGTCTTTGCAGAGCAGGATCTGCAGGAAGCGATGAAAGTTACCAAGAAGTAAGCAGTGGATAGAGGACCTGAGTACTATTCTTTTCAGCCTCTCACTCTCATCCACTCTGTTCCACTTCCAGCTCCCTTTTAAATGCAGGGAAATACTTGTAGGATCTGGGTGGCAAAGAGAAATTAGTGGAGAAAGAAATTAAAAGTGCAAAAGAGATAGATGTTAACTAACAAAGCAAGGTCCCAAAGAGGCAGGTTTGTTTATGCTTGTTAAGTGGATAGACATTACCTACTCAGAGATAAGTTTAAAAAATAAAGGTGGGTAAATGAAAATTTTGATTTGGAGGGCAGAGAGAGTAGCACAAGACTCACAGTTGTGTTCTGAAGAAAGCAGGTAAGATCACAGGCTACCAGTTAACGTCATCCCTGAATTCATATTTAAGTTTTCAATGGTGTTTTAAAAGAGTATGCAAACACAGGATACACGAGCTGTATGAAGTTCAGGCTCCTTTTAGAGCCTGGTCTTCTAGAACTCCATACTATCGAGGCCTTCATGAAATTACTGTTCAGTTAAACAGTATTACAGCTGCAGTTTTACAATAAATGCTTCTTGCTACTCTTTCACATTTGATTGTTTTCCCACAACACATGACGAAGCAACTGGATATTAGCATTTCTGCTTTATAGACGAGGAAACTGAAGCATAAAGGCAGCATCTGCCAAGGAGAACTCTACTCTTACCTTGTAGGACCACCATAAAATCAACTGCTTTGAAAGCCAGGCATTCAAGCACCTCCAACGTCTCATTTTCATGTTACATGTGCCCCCAAAGAGATTGTCCAGATAAAGAAAAAGAGCAAAAGTATAGATTTAGGCTGCAGATGTAAAACATGAATTTTCAGCACCAACCCTGTCACACTAAATGAAGGCAAAGCAGCCACCATCTGCCTTCATTACTCATAATTTGGAGCAGAAGCCACAGCATTTGGTGCAAGGAGGACTTTTCCTTAATTATAACGCTATCATTAAAAAATTGGTATGGTATAGCCAAACCAATAAGAAAGAAATGGAGAGAAGTAATTATGGGAGCTGTGTGGCAATTATTTATTTCCATTGTAAAATTAAAGCAAAAAAATATACAAATAAGCACTACCCTTTCCACATAGAACAAGGCATCCTAACACACAGAAAATAAAGTCATCTAGGGAAAACATATGGGCACAAAGCAATCTGACTTCTCAAGGGGGTAGTTTATTGAAATAGTTGTACCTGTGATACTCATAATCTATATTATATTATCAACTATCAGAATACTTCAGTTTCTTGTTGAAGACCCTGACAAAGAAGAAACAAAGTAGATGCTGACTTAGGGCACTTTGGTGGTTTCTAATGCCTACATAGTCATTGGGTCTTGAACTTTTCAACTTCTACAAAACTTTGTGAGAATAACTTACTTTAATTACACTTGTCATTCTATGACTTTTTGTTCTGTCATTTAAAAAACATTTTTTTCTCTGGGTTATACTTACTGTCAATATCTAGAGCTCTTTATTTACATGATATTTTAAGTTTTTTATAATTCAATTCAAGTAGAATATGAGGGTATATGAGCTCACTGTGTGATGTTTTGATGATTCCACATTAATAAATCAAAATACCTAAAAGTTTATATGAATCTTTGAAAAACAGAAACCTTAAATCCTGTTATATAAGTCAATTTTAAAGTAAGTTTTACTATCTATAAGAATATCTGGAATATACTTATTCCTAACACTGAATCTCTCAGTGGGGAGAACAGTTGTCAACTTGAATGGATTTATTTTCATCACTGGCTACTCAGAGGACATACTGAAGAAATTCAAATTATAGAACTAAAAATAAATTTTAAAAATACTGAGTTGGAAAGACGCAGGATTCATTGAGTGGCACCATGTGACCACCGTGTGACCACTACCCTCAACAGGAGGAGTGACAAAGCGGAACGATAAAAGTACTGCATTTGCATCATTTTTAGACCTGAATTTCATACCAGTAACTTCATTTTTACAACTCAAATGCTCATGCTTTGATATTAAACAGACAAAAAAGTTCAGGATTACAATCAATTACATAAGGGATTCTTGCATTTGTTCTAAAATAAACAGCTACCACAGTTTTATGTAACTAGCTAAATTATGTGTATCAGTTAAACCTCTAAAAACCCATTGCTGCCAGGCATAGTGGTACATAGCTTAGACCTAGAGGCAGAGGCAGGCAGAGGGATCGCTGTGAGATTGAGGCCAGCCCAGCCTACATACTGAGTACCCAGCCAGCTGAAGTTACAGGGAGACCCTGTTTCCAAAAAATAAAAACAAACAAACAAAAAAAACCCAAAAAAAAACAAAAACAAAAGATCCACAAGCCGGGTGTGGTGGTGCACGCTGTTAATCCCAGCACTCAGGAGGTAGAGTCAGGAGGATCTCTGTGAGTTCAAGGCCGGCCTGGTCTATATAGTGAGTTCCAGGACAGCTGGGGCTACAGGGAGACCCTGTCTCAAAAAGACCAAAAAACAAACAAACAAACAAAAAAACCCACAAAAGCACTATCAATCACATTCATTATTAAACATCTAGTATTTCTAAGAAATATTTCAGTGTCAAATTTTTGTGATGTATGTACATTTGAGTTCAATACTATTTATGAGGCTTCCTCTCTTGTCCCTTTTAGACAAAGGTTTCCCTGTCATAGCCTACCCAAACCTCTCAGTGGCCGGATATGATTTAAAATGGCTATCACTTCTCTGCAGGGTTGGGTTAATTGAGAAGAGCTTACCTAGAACTAAAAATCACAGGAGCAGATGTGTTTCTCATTTTAGTTGTTAGTGACAATGTTAAGAATCTTCTGTAGTTTCTCGGCTTTTTAACAAAATACTAAAATTTTCAAAAGTATTTATTCTTAGTTGGAAACAGTTACAAGAACATTTACCGTCAATTAGCATTCAATCACTTACCTTGGTGATTTTTTTCAATTAGCATTTTTTCAGTTTTTCAATTTTTTCAATTAGAATTCAATTGCTTACCTTAGTGATTTTTCTGGACTCAGGTTCACTGTCAGATTCGGATTCAGATTCGGAATCTGAAGAACTTTCTTCTACTGAACTAGACTCTGCACTGGACGAAGCTGAATCTTTAGATTTTTCACTTTTCTTCTTTCCATCTTCTGAATCCCTACGCATAATAATGAATTTTGAAATATGAATTGAAAATTATTTATATACATAAATTTAAGTAGTTCATATAAAAGACAATAAAAATGGTTTTAAAATTCTAGAATATAAAATAAGGGCTGGTGAGATGGCTCAGGGGGTAAAGGTATCTGCTACCAAAACTGGAAATCTGAGTTCAAGCTCCAGGATCCACATGGCGAAGGGAAAAACACGAATTTCCACAAGCGGTCCTCTGATCTCCATATTTACACTGTAGCATACACACACACACACACACTCACATTTAAATAACATTTTATGAACTAAATAATAACAGCAGTATTAACTGTAACCAAGCAAGTCAGAACCATTTCAAATGCAAAGTCATAAAACAATATTAACTGATATCATCAATAATAATATAGAAAATAATTACTATGAAATGGCTGGTTGCTTCCTAGAAATTAAGAGCTAATAGAAACAGCTCCAAAAACTTTAGGCTGATTTTTTAAATGATGTCTCAAAATATTATTTACTGACAAATTTAATTGTTTATATATCTACTTTTGCTAATATAGATCAGTATTTGATAGATATTTTTTCTGTCCAAAAAATTTACTTAGACAAATTCCCAAATGTGACCTTAAACATATTATATGTAAAATATTAGTTCAGAGAAAATCCTCATTTATTTTTGATTTAGAGACAAGGTATTGCTAGGTAGCTATATAGCCAAAGCTAGCCTACAACCTTCAGTATGACTCAAACAGAATTCTTCTATTACATTATCCTCTTAAAAATGCTGTTCACAAGCCAGGTATGGTAGTGTATACCTTTAATTCCAGTGCTCGGGAAGCAGAGGCAGGTGTATCTCTGTGAGGCTGACACCAGCCTGGTCTACATAGGGAGTTCCACGCCAGCCAGCACTACATTGTGAGACCCTGTCTCAAACAATAAAAACAAGCAAACAAACAAAATGCTATTCACTCATCTCCTCGCTCAATCAGCTAATATTTATTGCTTATTGCCATGTTGGACCCATGTTAGGTACTAAAGACAATGGTGAGACCCAGATGATGTGTGTATCAACCTGGAGTCTCTGCTACACTAGAAGAAACAGAGAATATGGCGACTGTGTACATCAGATGGGTAATAAACTATAAAGTACAGTATGTTACAAGAACACTCAGAGGGACAGCTAAATGAATACAACTGAGATTAGGCATCTTCTTGGAGAAAAAGACATAAACCAAGAAATAGGAATGAGGTAAGTGGGAAAATCAGGAAGCATTCTTCAAGAAGAAGGAACCACACAGGAGCTGGATATACTATCTTCCAGCAGGATGAGAGATGCCTTGTGCTGCTTAGATTCTTCCCCCAGATGGGAAGTCTAGTTCTCTCTATTGTACCATGGCAAGCTTGCATGCTCTTTGTTTGTTTGATTTTTTTGAGACAGGGTGTCCTTGTAGCCCTCGGTAGCTTGACGTGACCAGACCCAGACAGGCCTCAATCTTACAGAGATTCACCTGCCTCTGCCTCCAAGTGCTGGAACTAAAGGCGTATGCCACCATACCAGGCTCTTTTTTTAAGAATCTACCTTGGGTCAAGCAGTGCTAGACACTTCATACCAATTCTATCATTTAGATGCTCTCATCCAGGGCAAATTATCAACCCATTTACAATAATGAAACCAGTTTCTGAGGTTAAGAAGCATCTCAAGGACACACAGGCAAGAGTGTGAGAAGCAGACTCAGAATCAAGCCTGTCTCCCTCTGAAGCCCATTCTCTCCCTCTACCATAATGTCGCCCACCATGAACACACTGGAATGTAATTCAAATTTAGCCACGGAGAGCTAAGTTTCTGAAGACACTTAAAACTTATCAAGAGGTTTAAAGAAATTATACTGACAAGGTTTAAAAACATTCTAAGAGCAGGCAGAAAGACGCAGGGAGGGAGCGTAGTAAGGCAAGGAAAGAATCAATAGTTTTCAGAATTGATTTTTGTGGAGGAAATATGATTGCTGTTTATTAAAAACAGAGCTATGGCAACATCTCTGAACACGTGTAATTATATTTGAAGACAGAAAAATATGTTGGTTTTCCAGTTACAAAAGAATGGCAATATACTGTCCCAAATTCACTGTTTAAAACAAGTACTTACAAAAAGAAGGGCTTAGAGTGCATTTGTGGTTCTCTGGTGTTAACAATTACTTTAAATTCAAATAAAAGTGAAAATAAAAACCCATTTCTGAAGAAAAAGAAATAAATTAATATGTGATTCTAAGTTTACAGAATGACGACTCTGGCCTTCTGAAAAAGATACTGTATGCACTGATAAAAACATTCTCTTTCTAGAAACCTTCCTAAACTGTATCATCACTGATGCTCTGATGTGAAAAGGAAAGTATAGCATTTCCCTCAAACAGGAGCCTATTACAAGCCAAGCAGCTGCTCTGTAGCAACAAGTCAGTGATTCTAAATATACTTAACTTCTGGCATCTGAGATAAGATTTTAAAGGTAAAAGTGTTATTTTATTATGCATCACTCAATTCTGATGGTAATTATTGTTTACCTTACTGCTTAGAGTTTCAGATGTTAAGCTAATGAGAAGAATTTACTGGTAACTAGGTTTTTAACTTTGCAATGATGAAAAGCCTGTATTAATTTAACCTACAGATTTCATTTGTTCTGAACAGGAAAAACAATATAAATCACTTTTAAAATCATTAAATCCTGACTTAAATTAATAAAGTCATAATTAGGGCATTATGCTGTGTTTGTTATGGAAGTGGCAGGGCGAGCTGCTTTAATTACTGTCTGTAATAAAAGGAGCAGAGAGCGTACTGCGCCCAATCAGTGCTGTCAGCCACGACTGAGCCGGAGCTGCAAGCTCATCAAGGGAGCGGGCAACAGGCCCTGGGGAAGGGCCACGGTGTCGACAGAGGCCACTCACTGGCATCAGTGGGGAAAACAGAGCCACACAATCCAAGGTATTAGCCCCAATTACTCAAAATTTTAATGACACGTTAATACATGACGATGCTGTTGATAATGGGAGATATTGCAAAGCCCTAACACTTCAATATCTTCTGACCATCTTCCTTCACAGTCTTTGACTCTAATATTTGGATCATAATCTTTTTAATATAACATTATTTAGAAAAATCAATTGTCTTAGTTATATAATGGGCAAAGTGTTAAAGGATTTAATTTTAGTCCTCAGCAAAATTGCTACAAAAGGTAATTAAGTGTTTCAAGCCTACTGCTTGATCACTTAAGTCAGCCTTCCAAGGTTATACCAGTTTGGAAAATGTAACCCTAAGATCCGTTCAAGTTCAAAACGAACTCTAAGCATTGTAAGTATTTTAAAAGATTTAATATCTGGGAGGAAATACACAGATGGTTTCTCACTCTATGAAATAAGGGGAAATACTGGCTGGGGGAACTTTTTTTGAGGGGGATTCTGACAAATAAGTCACCTTTTCCTCTTGGTTTTCAAGCTCCTCTTGGCTGCCCTCTTGCTTTCTGCTTCTGCCTCGCTTGCACTCTCGCTCTGCCGCCCGCTGGGGGCGTCTTCTTCGCTGCGGTCCTCACCACTGTCCTCATCACTTCCGCCAGATTCCCCACTCTCACTTCCAGATCTGCTCTCTGAAAAAGAGCAGATGCTTTTAATAGCACTCATTTAATTACACATAAGGAGACCATAACGATCAATATCCATCATAAAGGAAAGCAGATGTTGAGTCTTAGATGGTCCTCCCTTGTTCAGAGAGGGTGATCTGGGAAGGACTCAAACGGACAGAGGGAAGATGCTCCGACAGTGAGAGGTGAAGAGCCAAGCCAGGATGAGTCAAGGAAGCCATGCTGAGGGACTCTCTCTTTACAACTCTTAAGTCTAGCTATGGCACATCACTTTTTAAAAAGAAACAATGGCATGAGTGGTATAAGGATAAACAAATACTTATTTTATTTCTGCTACATGTAAGAGAAGTGAAAAGTAAGCAACAGCTGGATCTTCTAAAGAACAAATTTTGAGAAACGAAATTTTCAAATCATCACCCAAATGTCTAAATTAATAAGACAGCAAGTAAAATTATGAAAGTTATTGCTTATTTTAGCTGAAATATGTCTCCCATAGGTCTAAGAGACAATAAAGCCATTAAGTTACAAGTTTTAAGCACAAATAATGACATGCTGGGATTCTTGCAGAAGCGACTCACTGAGTGTGGGGCATGGTAGCTCACACCTGTAATTTCAAGACTCAGGAGGCTGAGGCAGGAGAATCCTCTTGAGTGTGAGGCCAGCCTGAGCTATAGTATGAGATATTCTTTCAAAACATAAAACAAAAGAAAGTGTTGGACAAAATATTTGTGGTATTAAAATTTAGCATAATTTTTCAATTACAAAGGATTATAGGTACAGAGTTGTACACTAAATAAAAGGGCAAATTACTGCCCTTGCTTATCACCTATGAGATGAAGTAACCTTAAGCAGAAACATAGCCTGGAACTAAACATTACTCCAATTTCCGCTACATGAAGTCTTTCTTGTATTATGGTAAAGAGCCAGGACTGCCGATTCTCTTTGAAAGTGGCAGGCAGTGGGGTAACACTGCAGTTCTCAAGGGTTAATGTCTAGGTTCAAGTCCTGGCTCTGCCACTTACCACCTCTAAGACTGCAAGTTATTCAAACTCTGGTTCTCATTTTCCTTTTCAGCAAAGGAAAATACTACTACAAATAGCTACTTCACAGAGTCGTCATGAAGAGTAAATGATTTAGAACACATGAACATGATTAGAACACAACAGAACTGGCACATGGGAAGACACATGACCATGATATCTTTCATACACCTTACCAGTTAGCTAACTGGTTTATAATAGAAAAAGCAAAATGAAATAACAGGGGTAAAGTGCTAGCTCTGCAAGCCTGAGGACCAGAGTTTGGCTCCCTAGCACCCATGTAAAAGCTGGGTGCAGTATTGTGTACCTGTAAGTCCAGTGCTAGGGGAGGACTCAAAGCAGAAGGAAGAGGCAAAGAGAGAGCTTGCTGACTGGCTAGTCTAGAAAAGTGAGCTCCAAGTTCAGTCACAGTCTAGACTTTACCTCAAGATACAAGGTGCAGGGGGATGCATATATAGCTCCCTGCTTAAGAACACCTGCTGCTCTTGCAGAGGACCAGGGTTCAGTTCCCAGCACCCACACGACAGCTAACAACCATCCCTAACTCCAGTTCAGGGGATCTGATGCCCTCTTCTTGCATCCAAGAGTACAGACATGCAACACATGGTACCTTACTTACATACATGCAGGCAAAACACTCATACACAGAAAATAAAAATAAAAAAATCTTTTTTTTTTTTTTTTTTAGTAAGGTACAGGCCAGTGAGATGGCTCCTGCTGCCAAGCCTGAGCACAATCCCTGGAACCCATATGGTAGAAGGACAGAACTGACTCCTGCAAGTGGTCCTCTGACCACCAGGGGTGTGATAGAGTATGCAGCCCCAAATAAATAAATGTAAAAAAATATTGCACAATGACAGAGGAACATCTGGCCTCCAGATACACAAGTGAACACATCCATACACAGACATACACCACACCCACCTATCCACCCTACACATACAGAGAGAGAGAGAGAGAGAGAGAGAGAGAGAGAGAGAGAGAGAAATTCCAGCACTAAGTCATTCTCTCTCATATTATCACATAAGAGTGCAACAGCAATCTAGGTCCAGCTCACATTAGGCAGTTATTTTAAATTTATAAGTTAGTAAAATCCTTGAGGATATTTATTGTCAAAAAGATTTGTAAAACAAAGTCACCCAATGTATAAGTTATTTTTCCTCCAGGAATCACAGTGGAATTCCTGCCACATGACTACCTTCCACCACATGACTCACTTCCACCACGTGACTCACTTCCATAGGCATTCACATAAACCCATGAAAAGCACAATGCTGATGGAATTTCAAATATGTATTGAACAATGTTCCCTACAAACAGGTACAAGCTTATGAATAAATGGGGATGGAGACAGATACGTAGGGTATAAAATGAAGCACATGATTAACTAGAGAACCCGATTTTTCTCAATGACTGACAGCACTCTTGAAATTCCATAATTTTTTAATGTTAGCTTTTTGAATTGTGGTATTTTCTTACTTTTGGCTTATTACACCAGAAGGTAATGTGAGTTCATTAATCAGATACTGTAAACAGTATTTTGGTAGGGGAGATGGGGGAATAAAGAGAATTACTTCAAGTAGTGAATAATTATGAAATAGTGAAGGGCTCTGGTTCTCTAAGCAATAACGGTTTTAGAGAAGGCCTTGGGTCAAACCTCCCCACAATGTTACACTGTTACACATTGACAAGAGTATTTAAAAGGCATTGAAATATGTGTCCTTTTAAGCAAATCATGTGCAAATTTTAATAATAAAAGACATTTTAAAACTCTACCCTTTCATCTATCAGGTGGAAGGGTAGGTGCCTCATTTAGGTGGCACAGCTAAAGCCCAAGACTTTTGAATCTTTTACACTGAGCCTTCTTTCACAGAATATGGTTGCATTCAATCTTTCTAATTCTGAAAATGAATGAATTCTGAGATGTCCGCAATTTTGTTACAGGCTGGAAGATAAAAGAGAAGATGATCAGGGGAGTTTACATGTACTTGACAGTGTGAATAATACATCTCAACAAATGACAAAACCCACCACTGTCAGTGCTGCTATCAGAAGAGTCCTCCACTTCCTCCTCCTCCTCCTCTCCATCCTCTTCCTCATCTTCGCTCTCAGAGTAAAATTTCTTAGCAGGTCTCTCTTTCTTTGTTTTTCCAGCTGGGGTCCATTCTTTTGCCTGTTTACACAAATAAAGTAAATATAAATGAATTCTTCTTAAGGGATTCTGACTTTTGGGAAAAATGTTAAACATTCAGAATTCAATGTAAATCGGAAGCAAATTTAAGATCTCAACAGAAAGTCAGCTGAGAACACAAACTCTTTCAGAACCCATTATTAATCACTCATGCTATTTTTCAGACAATTATTTTTTGGGGGGTCTTTTTGAGACAGGGTCTCCCTGTAGCCCCAGCTGTCCTGGAACTCACTCTGTAGACCAGGCTGGCCTTGAACTCACAGAGATCCGCCTGCCTCTGCCTCCTGAGTGCTGGGATTAAAGGTGTGCGCCACCACGCCCGTCCAATTTTTAAAATGTCTGTAGTTGTTGGTCCCCAGAAAGTTTAAACTAAAGTAACAGCAACAATTTAACTTGACAGCTTGATGTTTGATACTTTTAAGATGAAACCCTGATTTCTCTTCCTCGTATCTTAAATAACTCATGAGAAACACTTTACTCTGGTCTTGCTGGCCCTCCCTCCTGGATTACTCCAACAGTCTGCCAACTGGCTACCTTGCTCCTCTTCTCCATTGGACCGCAACCAAAGTTTGCTGAACAGAGCAGCTAGAATGACCTATCAAACTGAATGAGTCAGGTCCAGCTGCTCTTTGGTCTCAAACTTTGCAGTGGCTACACATTTCACTCAAAGAAGGTAACGTCTACAGGAGTCTGCATCACCCGCACATGAGTCTCTTCCTGCTCACCTCCTGGGCCTCTCTGTTCCTCTTCCTTCAGTACATTCTACTCCAGCCACTTCTTATTGCTCTGCCAAAGACCCCAGACCTGCTTGGTCTGAGGGCCTTGCCTTCAGCTGCTCCTACTTCAACACAACCCTGTTCCTGTAACTCACAGTACTGTTTTCTAATAAGCTATGTGATTACTTTTTTCTCTTTTGGCAAGCAGAATTTTTAAAAAATATTTTATTTATTATTTTTTTATTTTATGTGTACAAGTGTATTGCCTGCATGTATGTGAGTGCACCCATGTCATGCAATGCCTGCAGAGGTCAGAAGAGGGCATCAGATCCCCTGGAACTGGAGTTACGGACAGTTAGCTACCATGTGGGTGCTTGGAATTGAACCTGGGTCCTCTGCAAGAGGAACCAGTGCTCTTAACTACTGAGCCATCTCTCCAGCCCCGAATTTTTTTAAACTTTGTATGCTGATGCATCCTAACTATGTCTGTCACAATAGTTGTATCTGTAAGTCCCTTAAAGTTTTCTTTTTTTTTTTAGGCAGGGTCTCCCTGTAGCCCCAGCTGTCCGGGAACTTACTATGTAGACCAGGCTGGCCTTGAATTTTTTAAATTCAGAAAGTGTTTGTTTGCATTTACGGAAAGATGTTCTCTGATGTTCACTAAACACAGTATTAATAAAAGTCCTTATTAATATGAACCTACTGGAGATTTTAATATAGTATATTAAAAATGCCTTCATAACTATGGCCTTGATTCATCATGAAAAAAATTATGTTTCATACATTTTCTTCTAAAAAGCAGGGAAATGTTATTTCTTTTTTAAAAAATACTTATTTATTATTTTTTATGTGTATGAGTGTAGTGCCTGTATGTAGGTAAGTGCACCCATGTCATGCAATGCCCGCGGAGGACAGAAGATGTTGTGGGATACCCTGGAACAGGAGTTAATACAGTTGTTAGCTGCCATGTGGGAAATGTTTTTCTTAAAAGGCCAAAATGGTCAAGACTCATTTATTGATTACACTTTTGAATTTCCTCCATGTACTTTATTATAAAGGAATTTATGGCATGACATAGAATTCTAATCCAAGAATTGTTCTCAACACCAACACTCATTACAATTATCTAAAAATATGGGTTTGTTTTTTTTTAATTTTCATTACTCTGTAATTGGAACATGCAAAGATGGGGGTGGGAGAAGCAAGAAAGAAGGGGAGGGAAAGACATTTGCTTTTATTTTAAAGCAGCACAAAAGGCAGCCCAGGAAAGAATCATATAAGCTTCTGCAAATGACAAACATGTTTTTCATATGGAAAAACCAGCAGGGGCATTTTATAACTCAGACCACACAAAATGAATGCATGGCTAAATATACACATTTTCAAGCCAAAAGAATAAAATGAAAATGATGGGGTGAGTCCAATTGGGAAAGTGACTCTCTTAACATGCCCTGGAGGCTCTGCAGACACCTGATGCAAGGTGAAGCCCTGCAGCTGCCTGGAACCTGTCCCTTCCCCTCACCTGCTCCCTTTTCAATCAAGTAAGCAGAGCTGAGGTCTGCATTCTGGGGCAATCACAGGCTTCCCTGGGAAATGGCAAATGCATGATTCTTTATTAACAGAAGGAAAGAAGTCAGAAGTCATTCTGGTTTCAGACATCATCTAAAAATATGTTTTAAAATACAAATAAGAACGATAAAGATAATAATACTTAAAAAAAAGTTCAAAGGTTTGAGAAAAGCTTCTATAGCCTGAAAAGTTACTCTCTATAAGAGGAAGATGAGTAAAAATTACTTTAATATATATTCTTACATGTATTCAACTGTCCCCAAATATAAAGATAATATTCTATAAGCAGAGAGTTCTCGTTTTTAGAAGGCACTAAAGTCCATATATTTTCTTTAAGCACAAATTTCCAAAGTCTGTTAGAACAATTTAATGAGAATAAATCAATTTAGGAAAATTAGGCTCCTGAACTCAAAGGGGCATATTTTCTTAGTATGGCCTGGGGTTCCTATATTCATGTAGTTTGGCACAGAAAAGGACTAGAGACTAACAATATTTTAATTATCATTCTGGCATGACAGTTATAGCAGTTTAAGCAAAAGAATAGTAGAAAAAAAGAGAACAGGAGAAGAGATGGAAAGGCACTAATTTACAAGGCTTCACACAAGATAAAACATTATCATGTGTTTATAAAGCAAAATATCCTTGATATGCAAAAGACAGTCTTTGTGTAAGGGAAAAAAAAAGATTTTTTTGGAACTAAGGGAAAAAAGTCTGAAGGATCTTCAAAATTTATTGGTGCCTTAATAGAAATATATATATATCTGATATCTTGGAAATAGTAGTGTGTAATTCAAAGTGACTTCTAATGTCAACCTGACTAGGTTCCCTGTTGTTTTGATTAAAATGTCAGATTATCTAAGCCTTAGCCATTTTTCCTCTTAAGTTATATTTCATAATAATGAGATTTGACCTTAAAAGATCACTTTACAGCAAACCTACAATAACACAAAGCATCATGCGCACAAAACACATTGATATGACTTCGCAGAGGGGGTGAGGTACAGTGAGAGGCAGAAAGGATGATCTGCACATCTTTCTGTACTGTTACAGGTGCATTTGAAAATAGAACTAGCCATATTATGTTTATATATAATTGCATCACTCAAAATATAATTTTAAGCCAGTAAATCTGAGAGACCAATTGACTCAATCTCTTTCCAGCATACTATCAATGGGCAATGGCAGTTCTCTTTAATCTGGTTCTATTAGTTATAAATATTCTCCTTAAGTTATCCATAATTAATTTCAGGCATATATTCAGCAAAATGAAAAAGAAACCAATCTATCTCTGCTGAACTGGATAGTTGAAATGAACATAAGAAAATAGGTTATTAAAGTACTGTCCCTATCAGAGTGTATGCTTAGAACACATGAAAATGGAAGAAACTAGCCAACCAACTAGCCAACCAGTCACTCTAAGAACACTATGCAGACAAAATTAAACTACCAATTTCTGAAAAGATAAAGCCTTTCCACAAGAGGAGAGAGGCAGCAGGAAGGCAAGGACTGGGTCTATATGGTGGGGTGATAGGAGGATTTTTCTACTTGTGCCAAAACATTATGTACCCAATACATAAAAGGGCAGAAAATAACAACGAGCAAGCATAATTATCAGGAAAGAGGACCTCTGTAGAAGAACTGCAACAAAACATTCTCTTCATATTCTAGATGCTAGAGTAGTTGCAAAGACAAAATGATAGGAAATTAGTGTTTATAATTTTTATTTATTGTTTATTTTTAACATGTGTGTATTGTACATGAGTACATGCTAATGTCTGTGTGTGTTTGGGGGAGGCCAGAAGTCAATGTCAGTTATTTTCCTTAACAGCTTCTCTACTTTCTTTTTGGAGACAGGGTCTCTCACTGAACCTAGAACTCACTGATATAGCCAGACTGGCTGGCCAGCAAGTGCCAGAAGCCCCTTATGCCTCCCTCATGAGTGTTGGGAGTACAGTCATGTGGGCCCCTAGACTTGGATTCTTTTTTTTCCAACAAGGTCTTACTATGTAGACCTAGCTGGCCCTGAACTCACAAAGATCCTCCTGCTTGCCTCTGCCTCTGCCCTTCTGCGCCCCTGCCCCTGCCCCTGCCCCTGCCTCCTAAGTGGTGGGATTAAAGATGTGTACCAGGACACCCAACCTGAACCCAGATTTTTATGTGGATGCTAGGGTCAAATTAAGGTCCTCATGCTTGCTTGGCAAGCACTTTGCCAATTGAGCCATCTCTGCAGCCCCAGTTTCCATAACTTTTAGATGTTTTTCTTCTTGGCCATCTTTAAATAAGGACGATTTGCCACAACATGAAAACGATGGTGCCAAGTACAAAAAATAAAACAGACCTGTAAACAAACTCAAACTTCCTCTCTTCTCAAACTTGCTCTCTTCAAGTTACATAAAAATCCAGTAAGACCACATCAGAGAGCAGACCTGGGTTGGAATTCCAGTCCTGTCAGCAGCTATGCCAACTTGTATTTATTTAGGTTCTCTAAACCTTGGTTTCTGTATCTACAGTATGGGAATATTGTCATAATCTTTAAACATGATGATGCTTGTTAAACATCAGTCTACCACCAGGCTGGCTGAATCGAAACAGTGTTAGTTTACTGGTTCTGGACATGCTCCCAGGTCAGTGTAAATTTCATAGTCAAGAGACACCAACTTCTCAAGGAATCATGTTACACAGCTATGCTCATTATAGAAATTATGTTTAGAGTAATAATGATTTCCTTCCTTTGTATATGGAGAAAAGCAAGGAGGTTAACTAATGTTCCAATAGGAATTAGTGGTAAAGAACTCTGATTATCTGATTTCTAGTTCAATGTATCTTTTATAGCAGAAAAGCAACAAGAATGCAATCCTTAACTGCTCTTCTAAAACTAATTTTATTTAGAAAAGCATTAGGTATATTCTACATAATTAATTTCCAAATACAATCAAAAGGCCTTCTTCTTTATCATTCTTTCTTATAAAAGAACAAACAGGTAATGTTAGTAAAGAACATTACTTATTTAAACCTGATAACTAGTATTTTCTTTTGAATAAGATTTAAAAATAGTGTACTTATTTTGCAATTTAAAAAAATGTGAAAAAGTACTTATCGCTCATTTTAAGTGTAAGCTTATCAAAGGACATTTTTGGTACATGATGCCCCTTATCTATATTTAAGCGTCACTTAAAACAGGGCTCATCAGAAAACCCAGTACATTTTATATGGATTTTTTTCTCTGGAAAGGAACAGCAAAAATTATTTAGAAAAATACTCACAGGAAGCTTACAAATCTCTAACAAAATAGAAAAAGCTCAATCCACGGAAACTAAATACCTTAGAAATTGAATCTACACAGCTACAAATGCAATCGCACAAATGTGGCCGGCAATGATGCAGAGAATTCAATTCTCTATTTCCTTGAAGCAAGGGAACAGTATATGTACAATGGCACAGGACTACTACAATATTTAGTTCCTATGAAGACACAGTATATCTAATACATTACATTTAGAAATACTAGAACAGCTTTCAATTTTCAACCCCCTAGAAGCTTTTATATAAAATAATAGTTATCTCAGAGTCTCTCATTGCTTGAACAAAATTAATTTCATAAAGGTCAACTTACCAACTCTATTACTTCTACATTTCGAACGGATGGATCAGGCGCCACCTCTGGCCAATTAGATAATTCCAGGTACCCAGAAGCTTTAATGTTGAGGGTATGAGATAAGGTGCCAAGCTGGAAATGATCCCTATCTATTAAAAATGGAGAAAAATATAAAATAAATGATATGAGCTGTATATAACAGATAACAATCATCATCAGAGCTCAAGGTAATTGGCATATTACCACAAATGTCAAGGAATAAATATAAACCAGGAAGCTCTTCATAGGTCAAAAAACTGATTTCAGTCCATAGATTACAATAATCTCCCCCATAATGGTCAATAAAAAAGCTAATCAGTTAGTGTGTTTAGAGGTGTTTCTCTGAAATGTAGCTTCTCTAAAAATTACTTTACTGTGAATATTAAGAATGACAGCACAGCTAAACAATCCATATACATGTCTTGGCATAAACACACCCAGAATTTTTAACAGTTTTTCTACAAAACTGACTGGCTTTTTAAAAAAATCATTTTACAATTATATAAGAAACAATATGAAAACCAAAGTATATAATCATTTGATTCTAACTGCAATATCTACTTGCTAAACTGACAAAATATTTAATTAGTTCCCCCTTAAAAAGCTAGGGAAAAAAATAAATCCTCTCTTTGAAAATGAATTTAAATTAAATAGATACTCTCATGAAATAATTTCTCCTAGAAATGTTGTTAGTATACACTAAATATTTAATTAATAACTTACTATTAAGATGACTTATACTCCTCATAAAATAAAACTATTTAAAGCAGAAATGAAGCCAATGTCTACAAAAATAAAACAGCTTTTGCCTATTGTTCAGTTAAGCTGCTTAGTAAGAATAAATAAAAAAATCACAAGACCTGAAATTATCCAGGAAAGTAAGGTCTACAGAATTATAAGCTTTAACAAATGTAAAATTTGCTTCGAATAACAGATGAATGAGTCTAAAATCTTCTTATCTATCTACAGGGTAATTACTTATATTTTCTGAGATACAAATTTGAAGCACATTAGAAACAGGAAATATTAACATAATTGTTTAGATAATGTTTTACAGCTGTGAGGTCTGAGAATACTACCTTTAAAAGGAGACTCCAGCAGTGGTGCAGGTTTTTGTGCCAGGAATATTTTTTTGGCATATTTACTTAAAGCTCCACTCTTCTCATTCGGAACAATAAGCTGCCTAATAAATCTTGTACGGTCTCTGATGTCATAGTTCTGATCATACTTGCCGAGATTTAATATGTACTGGGTAAGCAATTTTGTCTGTTCGAAAAAAACAGAACAAGATGAGAATACGGTTATTTATGATTATTGATAACTCTGGATAAACATATTTAAAGACGTAATAAAAATGAATGGTTATGTCAAACAAATGTTGCTCCATGGGGAATATGCATTTCTAACACAGCAAATGGAATTCTGAAGCCAACGCACATGTCCTCTTCTGTGCTAGGGAGGTGAATGCTGAGTACTGAGAAGCAGCCATGTGCTAGATTATTAAACTGCTGAAGTGGAAAGAAAGGCATCATTAAAAAAATAATCATATATGGCAAACCCGCTGAAGGGTCTACGTGAGAATAATGAATGTGGAAATACAACTAAAAACATGGCACTCAAAACTTAATCGGAAAAATATGCAGGACATCAAAACATCAGAGAGTATTAGGGGGTTGGCAAACGGCTTCTCCTGAGGTGTGTTTTATGAAGAGATACTGTCCCTGGCATAAGCAGTGTCTGCACTCTGACTGCACTCAGTTACTTTATCCTGAATTATGACCCATTAAAGCAGACACATGAATCACTGAACTGGATTACTGCAAATTATTTGCAGTGCATTTAGCTGTTACTTTTTCATAAAAGCAAGCTGCTGATGCCCTCTAAAAACTAGGATAAAAGACTTCTTCCATTTTTCCTCCATGCTGCTTATAGCCTCGGTAATATTGGTCATTTATTTATTTATGTAAGGGAACAACTTATTATAGTAGCTTTTACACCATAATAAGACTTGCTAAGTCAATTTTTAAATGCACTACATTAACATATATTGAGATAATTTTAATACTAATTAAACCAAAATTGAACTGTAACAAAATGAGTTTGTATTTTAAACTACAGTTTTTTAATGAAAAAAAAGTTTTAATTTAAATTTTGGCTAATACATGCAATTGTAAACATAAGCCAAGTAGGATTCATAAAATAAGGAAAAATAACTGAATAGTAAACCATTTACATTAGAACATTTTATACACATCAGAAACACATAAAAATAAAATTAATCAAGGTAGGAAGAACCAAAGATATTTCTAGAACAGTATGTGAAAAAACAGGACTGGTGAGTAAACCCCTTTAACAATAATAATTGGTTGAGCTAATTGGATTAGATAGAAAGCACTCTTCTTTCACTATCAAAGTATTTAAAAGCATTAACTTAGTTTTATTAACAGATTAATAAAAAATACAGGGAAAAATGTCAACAGATCTTTTCTGAATTTGGTTATCAACAGTTGCTATCCATTAACTTCTAGACCACGTTGCTTCATCTACAGGTAAGAAAAGATCATGACTAATTCTGAAGAGAATGACAATTAGCAAAATACTTGCCAAATAAGAAATACAACTCAACAGGAACTTATGCAAAAGTATGATACACTGAAGTGTGAAAAACACCTGGGTGGAATAGTTGTAAACTCACATGTAACCCATTAGTTTCCTCAAATGTGGAGTGAAAATTTACAACTAGTTAACTCTAAAGTTCATTTGAATCTTGAAATTTAGAATCTGAAACTAAATTTAACCAAAGAAATTAAGCCTGCAAAAGCAATTTTTTTAACTAGCATAGTCGTATGTTTTGCTTATAAAATTTACTCCCCGCAAAAAATTTTGCAAAAATTAAACTTATAAAATATGTTAACAGACACTATTGACAGCAAGACATATTTAAAGTAATTAAAATTATACAATGAAAAATAATATATTTGATTATAAAATTTATTATACTGATAAGATTATAAAGCAGTTCTATTAAAATGTTTTTGAAAATAAAATTTTTTCCAAGCATAAAGTATATCTGTGTACAATGATGAATTAAAAACAAGTACAATAATTATTCACCACACACTCATACAGTAATCAATTTCTTTGCTATTTCTGTCTTTTGTAGTAATGCATCGGCATTTCTCTGGAGTCTATTTTTAAGTTTAAAATTATTCAAAATTGAATTTTATGATTGGTAATTATTATTTTCAATTTATTCTCTGTACATTATAAAATTTGTGTACGCTGTGTATGCATGTTTTAAGTGTTCATGTCTGTGTGCACATGTGTGCATGTGAAGGTCAGAGGTCAACATTGTATTTTTTTCCCCCTATTAATCTCTACCTTATTTTTTGAGATAGGGCACTGAACCAGGAGCTCACCAATTGACTGTACTGGATGGCCAGCACAATCCAGAATCTGCTTGTCTCCCGTCCCACAGCACTAGTATTAGAGATGTGTTAGGCCACTGCACCTGGCCTGCATAGGGGTGCTGGGGAGCTGAACAAATACAAGTCCTCTCATGCTTGCATGGAAACCACTTTATTGACTGAGCCCTCAACCCGCATAGTATTTTTAATGGTGAAAATACAAGTTTCTTTCGTTCTCTCTCTCTCTCTCTCTCTCTCTCTCTCTCTCTCTTTCTCTTTCTTTTTTTGTCCCCCCAGGCAGGGTCTTACTATATAGCACAGGCTGGCCTTAAACTTGTGATACTTGTGCTTCAATCTTCTGAGTGCTGAGATTATAGGCTCATGCTACCACATCTGCATTATTTGTAATTATTTCTGAAAATTTTGGTAATTTTAGAGAAAATTCTGTTGAATTAAGAATATTCTTAAAGTTCTTTCCTTTGTTGTTGTTGAAATCTGCAAATATTTCAAACTCAAATATTTAACCCTCTAGAAATGAAAGTTTTTTCAAGAGTTATTTTCATGAGACAAAATTTCAAATATTTTATTCTTTTAAAAGCATTTTACCAAATTTAGATAGTACGAAATCAACCTTCTTGATTTCATTTTATTCTAATATAAAATATAAGCTTATCTAATTGAAAAAATAGGCATGCCAATCAAATAATCTTCACAACAGTTGAGAGTATGAATGCCCCTCCACCCACAACAGGACTGGAGCCCAGGTTTCCTGCGTGCTAGGCAAGTGCCGTATTGCTGAGCTACACCTCCAACCCTTACAATTAAATCTTGAACGATCAGTGTTTTAATTTGTTCAGTTTTTCCTTGCATATTACATGGATCACTTCCAAAACCTTCCTGTTTTGTGAGATCTTTCCAAGAATGGCTGTGTGCTAAAATTTAAAAATTTTTAGCCTTCTATTTGGTGGCATTTTAACGATCTCCAAAAAAAGCTTCTGAACTAACTCCAACCAATAACCAATATGCAGAAGACTCATTGGAAGATGAGACCACGACCTTGAGAGGGAGATGCAGAGAGGCTCAGGAAGGGTTAGGGGAAGAAAATACAATGAAAATGTGTTATATTCATGTATGAAAGTCTAAAAAAAAATTAAAAGAATTAATGTTATATGTAAGGTCCAGGACAAAGGGGAAAGGGGGAAGGCTATAAAGTGACTCATTTATTTTAAAATAAGGATAATTCAAAAGATGAAAGATTAATAAACTTATGGAACTCACTGCTTTGATAGACAAAGAAGTGCAAGTAAAATGCTATTTTTAATGATTAAAAAAATAAGAAAAGAAAAACTTGAAGCTAACTTAGTAACACAATGCCTTTACAAAGATTTTTCCACAAAATCATATCTCTTTCTATAAAGATTGAATTTATTTCTATTTATACATATGTGTGTGGGGGGAGTAGGTTACTGCAGAGGCCAGAGGCATTGAATCCCCTGAAGCTGGAGTACAGGCAACTGTGAGCAATCAACTTGGGTGCTAGGTACCAAACTAGGCAGTATGCACTCTTAACCACTGAGCTATCTCTCCAGTCTTATTTCTAAAATCCTGTTGATAACATGCAGTCCAGAGAACATGAACATTAGCTTCTGGAGTCCAGTTAACCTGTAACCATGAATGCCAGCCAATTTAGACTACCACAATTTTATTTCAATTGGTAGAACAGTTTGTCTTGCCTGCATCACTGCTAATTCCCAAAAGCAAAACAAAAACAAAACAACCCTATGCTCCCTAGTTTTCTTTGTTTACTAAGACTATTGACTTTACCTTGGCAGCATCCTTTTAGCATAATCAAATGAGTTTGTTTCCAGTGGTAGCTTTTAAAGCTTTTTTTTCGACAAGATAAACTTTTAACTGCCTTACTCTGACTCCATTAACAGCACTGACAGAACACACACATTAATGTACTTTAGGCCAAACTGTACCTAGATGATGTTGTATTTCAAAATGTGCTGCTTGTACCCTTTTTCTACTAAGGGAGTCGACATATTAACAGCAATTGCCTCATTTTTCATACACAGGCAAGAAAATGTGAAATAAAAAATGAAAATTAAAGTTTCAAAAAGCTGTTTGCTGGGCCTTGGAGAGACGGCTCAGCATTTAAGAACACAGGTTGCTCATGCAGAAAGCCCAGGTTTGGTTTCCAGCACCTGCGTGGTGTCTAACAATGGTCTGTAACTCCAGTTCCACGGGATTCAACATTCTCTTCTGACCTCCATAGGTATTGCATGACACAGGTACACTCACATACATGCATGCAATACACTCATACACATAAAATAAAAATAATAAAATGTTTTTTCTTAAAGCTGTTTGTTAAGGGCCAGGGATTTAGCTCTGTGGCAGAGCACTTTCATACCATACAGAAGGACTCTGGGCTTGATTCCCAGGGGTGATGATGTTTGATGTAAATAAAGTTATGGCTCACAGAGAGTTAAATATCTTCTGTACCTGTATGCATTAAGTGGTCATCTTGAGACATCATCTGAAAATAACTGCTAGCATCTTAAGCAGAGGTCAATCCACTTTTAGATGAGTTGTAGGATCAGTGATGCTATGATGCTACGACAGACAGTGGATGGCAGCAAACATTTTGTGCATAGTAAGCACTAAGATGGAAATTCAGCAATTAGCTCTTTACTAAATAAACGCTTTAATCTTTAAAGATATATGGCTGATAAGTTTATAGCACTATAAAAAAAATACTGTCAGGTAGTTTTTTAAAAAGTTTAGCTTTAAACTACATCGTAAATGACAAAACTACTCTAAGCAGGAGTGTTGACCATTCTAGTGATGTACTAG